CTGTCTATACCACAACTGTCTACAACAACTGTCTATACCTCAGTGTCAGCTGTCTATACCACAACTGTCTATACCTTAACTGTCTATACCACAACTGTCTATACCTCAGTGTCTATACCACAACTGTCTATACCTCAGTGTCATACCACAACTGTCTATACCTGTCATACCTGTCTATACCTCACCTGTCTATACCACAACTGTCTATACCTCAGTGGTCTATACCACAACTGTCTATACCAGTCATACCACAACTGTCTATACCACAACTGTCTATACCTCAACTGTCTATCTATACCACAACTGTCTATACCTCAGCTGTCTATACCACAACTGTCTATACCTCAACTGTCTATACCACAACTGTCTATACCTCAACTGTCTATACCTCAGTGGTCTATACCACAACTGTCTATACCTCAGCTGTCTATACCACAACTGTCTATACCACAACTGTCTATACCACAACTGTCTATACCTCAGTGTCTATACCTCACCCTGTCTATACCACAACTGTCTATACCTTAACTGTCTATACCACAACTGTCTATACCTCAGTTCTATACCAACTGTCTATACTGGTCTATACCACAACTGTCTATACCACAACTGTCTATACCACAACTGTCTATACCACAACTGTCTATACCACAACTGTCTATACCAGTCTATACCTAACTGTCTATACCACAACTGTCTATACCACAACTGTCTATACCACAACTGTCTATACCTCAGCTGTCTATACCACAACTGTCTATACCTCAGCTGTCTATACCTGTCATACTGTCTATACCACAACTGTCTATATACCATACACAACTGTCTATACCTTAACTGTGTATAAAACAACTGTCTATACCTCAGTTCATACCTCACCTGTCTTTACCTCAGCTGTCTATACCTCAGCTGTCTATACCTCAGTTCATACCTCACCTGTCTTTACCACAACTGTCTATACCTCAGTGGTCTATACCACAAACTGTCTATACCTCAGTGGTCTATACCACACAACTGTCTATACCTCAGCTGTCTATACCACAACTGTCTATACCTTAGCTGTCTATACCACAACTGTCTATACCTTAACTGTGTATAAAACAACTGTCTATACCTCAGTTCATACCTCACCTGTCTTTACCTCAGCTGTCTATACCTCAGTTCATACCTCACCTGTCTTTACCACAACTGTCTATACCTCAGTGGTCTATACCACAACTGTCTATACCTCAGTGGTCTATAACACAACTGTCTATACCTCAGCTGTCTGTACCACAACTGTCTATAACTCAGCTGTCTATACCACAACTGTCTATACCTCAGCTGTCTATACCACAACTGTCTATACCTCAGCTGTCTATACCACAACTGTCTATACCTCAGCTGTCAATACCACAACTGTCTATACCTTAACTGTCTATAAAACAACTGTCTATACCTCAGTTCATACCTCACCTGTCTTTACCACAACTGTCTATACCTTAACTGTCTATAAAACAACTGTCTATACCTCAGTTCATACTTCACCTGTGTTTACCACAACTGTCTATACCTCAGTGGTCTATACCACAACTGTCTATACCTCTGCTGTCTATACCACAACTGTCTATACCTCAACTGTCCATACCACAACTGCCTATACCTCAGCTGTCTATACCTCAACTGTCTATACCTCACCTGTCTATACCTTACCTGTCTTTACCTCAACTGTCTATACCTCACCTGTCTATACCTTACCTGTCTTTACCTCAGCTGTCTATACCTCACCTGTCTATACCTTACCTGTCTTTACCTCAACTGTCTATACCTCACCTGTCTATACCTTACCTGTCTTTACCTTACCTGTCTTTACCTCAACTGTCTATACCTCAGTGGTCTATACCACAACTGTCTATACCTCAGTGGTCTATACCACAACTGTCTATACCTCAGTGGTCTATACCACAACTGTCTATACCTCAGTGGTCTATACCACAACTTTCTATACCTCAGCTGTCAATACCTCAAATGTTTACCCCCCAGTTCAAAATGTAGCTGTCTTTACCTCACCTGTCCATACCTCAGCTGTCTATGCCTTGATGTCCATACCTCAGTTATCTATGCCTCAGATGTCCATAAATCGGCTGTCTATACCTCAGCAGTCTATGCCTCATCTGTCTATACCTCAGTTATCTATGCCTCAGATGTCCATAAATCGGCTGTCTATACCTCAGCAGTCTATGCCTCATCTGTCTATACCTCAGTTATCTATGCCTCAGATGTCCATAAATCGGCTGTCTATGCCTCAGATGTCCATACCTCAGCTGTCTATACCCAGATGTCTACACCCCAGCTGTTTATACCTCAGCTGTCTATACCTTAGCTGTTTACACCTCAGCTGTCTATACCTCAGCTGTCTATACCTCAACAGTTTATGCCTCATATGTCTATGCCTCTGATGTCCATACCTCAGCTGTCTATAGCTCAACTGTCTATACCTCAATTCATACCTGAGCTCTCTATACCCCACCTGTCAGTAGTTTAACTACCATAACTCAGCTCATACCTTACCTGACTATATCTCAATTTACACATCAGTTTTCTGTAATGCAGTTTTACATCTGCTGTCTATAAAAGTTGTCTATACAACAGTGGTCTATACCTCAGCTGTCTATACCTCAACTGTCTATACCTCAGCTGTCTATACCTCAACTGTCTATACCTTATACGTCTTTTTAGAATACATCCTCCTCGACATTAGAAGATCTAGAATACTTACAAATAAAGTCTTAATACATTCTCCTCGACATTAGAGGATCTAGAATACTTACAAATAAAGTCTTAATACATTCTCCTCGACATTAGAAGATCTAGAATACTTACAAATAAAGTCTTAATACATTCTCCTCGACATTAGAATATCTAGAATACTTACAAATAAAGTCTTAATACATTCTCCTCGACATTAGAAGATCTAGAATACTTACAAAAAAGTCTTAATACATTCTCCTCGACATTAGAAGATCTAGAATACTCACTAATAAAGTCCTAATACATCCTCCTCAAAATTAGATCAAGAATACTCACTGATAAAGTCTTAATACATTCTCCTCAACATTAGAAGATCTACAATACTAACTAGTAAAGTCTTTATACATTCTCCTCAACATTAGATGATCTACAATATTAAAAAAGTCTTCATACATCCTCCTCAACATTACAAGATCAAAATAATCACTAAAAAAAAAACTTATTACATGCTCCTCAACATTAGAAGTTCTATAATACTCAGTAATAAAAAGTCCTAATACATTCTTTTCAACATTAGAAGTTCTAGAATGCTCACTAACAAAGTCTGAATACATTCTCTTCAACATTAGAAGTTCTAGAATACTCACTAACAAAGTCTTAATACATTCACTTCGACATTAAAAGTTTGGGAATGCTCTCTAATAAAGTCCTAATACATGCTCCTCGACATTAGAAGTTCTAGAATACTCATTGATAAAGTATTATTACATTCTCCTTAACATTAGAAGTTCTAGAATACTCACTAATAAAGTCTGTATACATACTTCTCTACATTAGAAGTTCTGGAATACTCATTAATAAAGTATGAATACATTCTCCTCGATATTAAAAGTTCTAGAATACTCACTAATAAAGTCTGAATAGATTCTCCTCGACATTAAATGTTCTAGAATACTCACTAATAAAGTCTGAATACATTCTCCTCGACATTAGAAGTTCTAGAATAATCACTAATAAAGTCTGAATACATTCTTCTCTACATTGGCAATTCTAGAATACTCACTAAAAATGTCTAAATACATCCTCCTCTACATTAGAAGTTCTAGAATACTCACTAATAAAGTCTGAATACGTTCTCCTCAACATTAGAAGTTCTAGAACACTCACTAATAATGTCTGAATACATTCTCCTCGACATTAAAAGTTCTAGAATACTCACTAATAATGTCTGAATACATCCTCCTCTACATAAAGTTCTAGAATACTCACTAATAAAGTCTGAATAAGTTTCCTCGACATAAGAAATTCTAGTATAAAGAATAATAAAGTCTAAATACATTCTCCAATACATACACCCAGACGTGTATGCTATAAACGAATTACTTTTTGCTGATGATCAAAGCATACTGTATCAAAATGAATATGATCTACAGGAACATCTGACTACTCTCAACAACAGCTGTTTACAACATAATATGAGAATCAGTACAGAAAAAACAGAAGTTATGAAGATCAGCAGAACACACAGGCCACTGAATATAAATGTTGGAAGTGCCAAAATCAAGCAAACCAAAGAGTTCAAATACTTGGGCAGTATATTTACAGAGGATGGAAGAATGGACAGAGAGATAGAAACAAGAATACAGAAAGCAAATGCTGTCACATACCAACTATCACCTCTGCTTAAACATCCAGATATAACCATGAAGACCAAAAGACAATTGATAAACACCATCTTCATTCCAACACTCTGCTACCAGTGCCAAACATGGACAATCAACAAGACCCATGAAAGAAAAATAGAAGCCTGTGAAATGAAATGTCTAAGAAAAGCAGCGAACAAGACCAGACTAGACAGGATAAAGAATATAGACATTAGAAACACTGTCAAAACTACGCCATGTTTAGACTACATAGAACATCAAAGAATGAAATGGTTTGGACATCTAACCAGGATGAAAAATGATCAAATAACATCACAAATTTTCAACCAAAGAAGCTCAGGATATAAGGCAAGAGGAAGACCAAGGAAACGGTGGATTGACGGGGTCTCCGAAACCTGCCAAAAGCATGGCCTCAGAACATCAGATGCTGCCCGCCTTGCTTATGACAGGAACTTGCATCTCCCCACAACGCTTAGCGGCATACGTGGAAGGAAAAACTAAACTAAACTAACTAAATACATTCTCGTCGACATTAGAAGTTCTAGAATACTCATTAATAACGTATGAATACATTCTCGTCGACAGTAGAAGTTCTAGAATACTCACTAATAAAAAGGCATTATCATCAGCGGACTCAGGAGGTGAAATTGAAAGTCGGCAGCCAGACTCCAGCAGTGGGCAAAGCACTGGTAGAATCATTAATTATTAATTAAATGTACTCGAGTCAGTGAGTCAATGAATGAATGAATAAATGAATGAATGAATGAATGAATAAATGAATGAAGGAATGAATGAATGAATGAATGAATGAATGAATGAATGAATGAATGAATGAATGAATGAATGAATGAATGAATGAATGAATGAATGAATGAATGAATGAATGAATGAATGAACTCATAAAGCGATGCAAACCATTCTACATGTAGTATGGCAGTTTCTATTTTCCAGACTCGTTAAGTCGTTTACAATTACTTGTGGGGCTGAGCGACTCTCAGTCCATCCGAGAGCTCTAACAACCGCCTCCCCCTCCATTCTCATTTAGGATGGTATGACGTTAGACGCAAGGCTTTCCGTTTTCAGTGTCCACTCACATTTGCAATAAAACCACAGCAGCCTAACCCCTCACCCTAACTTACATCTGCTTATAACTTGAGCTGACAATAGTCTCATCTTCTCTAGTCCTGTGTTGCCTTTCAGCGTCAGGTTTCGAAGAGGAAATGGGTGCGAGTTTTGGTATAAGCTACGTGGATGTTGGTATTTGCGTCCACGGATAATCCATCTACCCATCTCTTGCGTGGTCGACATCTGGTTTTGTTGCACTTTATCTCAGTGGCAGGGCTCTCAGTGTTGCCCTATATGTCTCTCTGTGGTGCAATCTCTAGTGATAGTCCTGACACAGGTCCAAACCTTTGGTCTGTTGTCTCTTGCTGCATTTAGTACAAATTCCATTCCTTGTTCTTTCCTTACAGCGTTACTTCTGATCCTGCCCCGTCTAGTTACAGTTAGAATTCACTGCAGACAATTGCTAAGGCATTAACAGCTCGTGTTCAGGTGTTTTAAAGAGAGGTTCTACTTCATCACATTAGCTTTTTTTTCTATTTCGCTAGCAATCTATACCGGATTGCGCGGTGACCGGATGACGAACTCCTTATGGTCCGTTTTCACGATCGGGGGTAGACAGAAAAGCCACATTTCTCCCAGATTTACGGTATTTATCATGGAATCAAGGCCGAAGGGTTGCGATATCCATAATACCGAGCCTAAGGGTAAACAACTCATGGCTTCTGGATACCCCAAAATAAAAATAAAAATCTTGTCTGGCTCTGTGTCTCTCCGCAAAGAACACCAGACGAAGCACAATCACCCCCCCCCCCCCTCTCCCCCAGGGATATCAGAAACACCCACATTCACAAACGAAAGGATGGGGCTCGAATGAGAATCCACCACCTTCAGAGCACGAGTCTACAGTAACTTCCAAAAGTCCTGCCAAACTTAAAACAACTGTAACTGTAACGTTTGGTGTCAGTTGACATTTAGCATGCAACCTGTTCATAATCATGCACGTGTCATTTTTCTTTTAATGTAATCAAACATTAGTTTATATTTTAAAAAACCACATTGAAAGCAAACAGTCAGCAAACTTACAATAATTCGAGTAAACTGAGGCAGAGAAACTGTTTTCAGAACATAAAATTACACGCGTTTCACTCTCAGGTGGTCATCTCTAGCACGTCTCCCGTGAGTTACATAATTTTCTTTGAGTGGGGGATAGGCTATCAAAATAATCATCTCGCATTGCTGCCCTTGTCAAACAATCTCCACGCGTGTTAGTTACTCTCTAAACTAGGCAGCCGGTGTAGGTAACTATGTAATGGGTACAATCCTACTGTGGGGTATCTGGAAGTGAAAGAGCTGATAAACTAGCTAACGAAGGTGCAAATGAAGAACAACCTGACGTAATAGTCTCATTTCAACAAAAGAAGAAAATAATCAAATCAATCAGAAAGCCACCAAAACTGGCAAAAAACGATTATCATTTTATGGACAGACCAGAGCAAGTTATTATTCTACGCCTTAGAACCGGACACAGTCGACTTCGCAGCCACGTGTACACACAATTTAAAATCGGTGAATCAGCCATTTGCAATGTGGACTAGCACCTGAGACAACAGAACACGTCCTCCAAGACTGTCACAAATACAAAATATCAAGGCCAAACTTTTAGTCAAGAGAAACAAACCAAACTTTACGGGTCGCTGAGTGAATTACAACAGACAATGGAGTTTATACTAGAGACAACATAGCAGATATAGATAATCTATTTGAAGCGGGCGAAAGAAGAAGCTACTCTATGTTTTATTTTCTAAGGGTACAGAAGTTATTAATCAAACAAAGATCAAAGAAATGTGCCGCTTCAAGAATACAGTAACACTTGTGAATTGAAAATTATAGAATCTTGGCCACGAATTGATTAGCACTCATATAAAGAAGTACTCATATAAAGAAGTAGGGATACAAGAAGGAGTCATTAGACCAGTGGTCTCCGACCCAGTCCAGATATCACCCCCCCCCCCCCCCCCCCCTCTTTCCCCAATACAACATTTTTAAAAATATGAACAAAAAGAGGGCGAAAAAAAGGAATAAAGAACTACAACGGCGTGGTGAAGCGGTTAGGTGCTGCGGACTGGAGGGTCGTAGGTTCACGTCCTGACGAAGCGGGATATTTTGTGTCTGTGTGTGTTTTTTTTTTTTTTTTTAAGAAAACAAAATCCTTTTGGCTTCCAGGTCGACCTAGCCTTGAGTGGGTACTAAGTGCAGTCCTGGAAGTAAAGGTGACCGCCGTGATGCTGACCACATCCTACTCCCAGTGCAGATTGGTCTATAAAATATATGTCTAGCCCTATACGCCCTTATGTTTGAAGGCGTTAAAAAGGTTTCTTTACTTTTACCGTTGACAAGCACTTGGAGAAAACATTCCATTGTCACTGAAAGCGTCAAATAACAATCACTAACAAATGGTAGTTTAGCGTCCACAAATCATTGTGTTTGTTAACAGTTTTGTCTTGACGATGTCTGTTATTTGTTTTAGTGTCCACAAATCATTGTGTTTGTTGACAGTTTAGTCTTGACGATGTCTGCTTTTTGTGGCCTGATACTGAACAAGGCACAACAGATATCACTACATCTTCACATTAATTTAGTTTGAAAATTGCTTTGAAACCTCCTCACGCTGCCCCCTGCACCCCTCCTGGTCCTGTGGAGGGGGGAGGGGGGTGTAAAGGCGCGCTGCCAGGTTAGAGATCACTGTCTTCTTCTTCTTCTTCTTCTTCTTCTTCTTCACTTCCTCTTTTACCGCTGTGGGTGTCGAGGGAGATAAAGGTTCTGTTTCTTGCTCTTCTGGCTGCCTCGACCATAGGCACATCGTGCTGTTGTAGAGTTTCTCTGATGTTATCCTTCCATCTTGTTCTTGGTCTACCCCGTGCTCTACGTCCTTCTTCTCTTTCCATGTATGCTTTGTATGGTATGGTGTCACAAGGCATTTTCTCTAAGTGGGCAAACCATTTCACTTGCTGTCTTTGTATGTAATCCAGAATTGGTTCTGTGCCGACTTGTTCTCTTATGATCTCATTTCTGATCTTATCTCTTATGGTCACCCTACAGCCCTTCTCAGACATCTCATTTCGGTGGTTACTAAGTTTTTTTTATGGTTTGTTGTGAGTGACCATGTCTGGCACTGGTAGCACAGAGTTGGAATAAATATGCTTTGAATAAAATGTCTCTTTGTGCTGATTGGGATTGCCTTATGCTGTAAGAGGGAGGCTAGCTGTCCCAATACTTGGTTTGCTTTACTGCATCTAATGTCAATTTCTTTATCCAATTTCCCATCTTCGGTAAATGTAGTTATCACTTGCTAGACACAAATCGAAAACTAGTTTGATCGAACCTGGCACTTCATAACAGCAGCCCCATTCGCATGAAAAACGTCTTCTACTCATGTTTAGATAAATGCTTGAAAGGTCGCTTACCGCACCACCAGGTGTGAGGTTGTTGATGTAAAGCGGGAAGGTCCACCAGTATGTTTCACAGACCTCTTTATCGTCAGGTTGAAGTGTGGGCGCCGTGGCGCCGGACACGAAGAACCTTTGCAGCCCTTCCACCAACACTAAAGCCACCATGTAGGTCGGGGTCAATCTGTCAAGGACATAAGGCGTATCGTCTGCTTGGTGTTTTATATTATTAATATTATCTTGTTATTCTTCACGTTCACGGACGACTGTAAACTCTGGCGGAAAGTTTTGGTTGTTCGTCCACTCCTGGACTTATAGTGGTATTGTTATTATAACATCAGATAGACGATGTGCGACAGAAATGAAGAGTAGAATAAGCCGGGCTAAGGTGACATTCTAAAAGATGAAACATATTTTATGCAACAGGTTTCTTTCGAAGAAGCAGTGAAACGTAAAAAACAAATTGCCTCAAAAAACCGCAATAGCCCAACAATGCTGGGGGTTGTTTCTTTAACGTAATGTAACTGATACGAAACTCAATTTGTTCTCTCGTGAACTTACAAAAGAAGTACTGCAATTGTGTACTGGGCTAGTTCTACTATATGGCTGTGAATCTTAGAAAGTGAATGGACAAATAAGGAACCTGGAGGCTGTTGAGATGTGGTTGATGATACAATTGCCGCGGGTACCATGGACAGAGTGACAGTAGCTATATATGTTGTTAATGGTGCGTATTTAAGAAGGAGAAGGAAACCCTCCTCCTCCTCCTTGGTCAAGGGTCAGGTAGGTGACCGATTGTCCAAAAGTCGCCTCCTGCTAGGTCATCAAGATGGCGGCCTGTTGGTAACTTTGTTTGTCTTAGTTTTTTCTTCTTCTTCTTTTGTCAAAATCTGCTTGTGCCGCTAGGCGTCGCAGTCTATCAGATGATCGGCAACCGAGCCAGGGCGCGCTCAGTCGCTTCATATGCCGTGATGTTATGAAGTCTCAAGTTGTCCGTGACTCCTTCAATCCATCTTCTTCTTGGTCTTCCCCTGCCTCTTGTTGTTTCGATTTTCATGTTGTATGCTCTTGATGCTGGCATCGTTGGTTCCATTCTCATTAGGTGACCAAACCATTTCATTCTTTGCTTCTCAATAAATTTAACGATGGGTATGGTTCCAATAGTTCTTGTGATCACATCGTTTCTCACTCGATCTCTTCTGGTTTTATTCGCAGCCATTCTCAAACATCTCATTTCACAGGTGGTTAGTCTTCTCTCGTGTTCTTTTGTTAATGTCCAAGTCTGACATTGATAACCTAATGTCGGTATAAAGATTGTATTTATAATTTGTCTTTTTATCTCAGCTGGGACAGCAGGGTGTTTTAAAATTGGGGCAAGCTGGTATGCGACATTGTTGGCTTGTTGGATTCTTGCTTCAATCTCTCTGTCTATTTTACCATTGGATGTAAAGATACTTCCCAGGTATTTAAATTCTTGCACTTGTTTTAGGCTGTGATCTAGAATCTTTATGTCGATGGTCTGTTGCTCTCTACTTATGCTCATGACTTCTGTCTTTTCAGTATTGATCTTCATATGATGCTTGAGGCAACTGTCGTGTAGTAGGTTCATGTGGTCTTGCAGCTGTTTACTATCACTGTGAAATATGCATTGATCGTCGGCAAAGAGCAGCTCATTGAAGTCCTCCTGTTTATCGACATCTGTTGGTGTTATGTCTATTTTATTAATATTGTCCATAAATATTATGAAAAGTAAAGGTGATAATACACAACCTTGTCTTACTCCTGATGTTACTGGGAACCAGTCTGTGATGCCAGCTCTTGTTTAGTTTTTTATGTTTATTAAAAAGTTACAGTTGACAAATGTTTGTGAGGGGTCGATTCTTTCAGTTTCGCATCTCTGTCATTTTCAACTTCTGAGGGTACTCAGAGGCGGGGTCTCTTTGTTTTCCTCTTGGTGCCTGTGCCCATTCAAACTTATAGTATAGTAATAGGGGCGACTTTTTATGAGCATATTGTCTCGAGGCACCCATTTTCAAGGCTATAGTAATAGAAACTGCTACGTATTAGATTGTTGTGGGTGCACCCCCCCCCCCTCTCTCTCTAGTATTTACACCCCTGCCTTGACCGTCCTATGTTGTTAACATTCAGAGGCAGTACTATATGGTTGAATAGTTGGACAACTGAATAGTTAGATAGTTGAACCGACTAGGGAGAGAGGTGGGAAGCAAAGTCAAACGAAATATTTTAGTGTACGTACCTGTACCATCTTATGTTGCTGGTTAGATAGTTGATAAGGTAACGAAGAGACGTGGAAAGTCGAGGCGAAACAACCAGCACTCTCAATATGCTTATAGTATTAACTACATACTAGCGAAAGAGGCACCTATACCTCGATGAAGCTTGGCGGTTGGAAGCAATGGCGTGGTGGAATATTATCAGTGGAATAGATTAAAAATTACAAGGGTCGAGATTCGGGCATACGTCACTCGACAGGGTACTTGATCATGATGACTGTTGTTGTTGTTATTATTATATTATGTAATTTATTACTTGGTGATTGGATTGTAGACTAGCGCTGCTCGCGGTAAGGAAGAGTCAGCTGAGAAAGTTTGAATGTGTACATAATGAAGACGTGAGGTTGATTCTAGTATGTACCAGAGACACAGTACTATGTGTGCGATAATCCTTACACTGTCGACTATTGCAGACAGGCTGAGTGTGCTGCAAACCAGGTCATACGTTACTGTAGCCGTCGACAACCCCACCTTCTTCATAAAGCTTGGACACAGCTAAAGAGCACGTGTTGGTGAGAGTGGTATTCTTCAACCCATGGGTGGCGACCCACCAGGTACGCTGCCAAAAGAATATGTCTCAACTTGTAACAGGAAATGGGTGGTGGTTTGTCTCTTACACGATTACAGTCTGCAGGGTTCACAGCTCAAGAATAAGAATGAAACAGGTACAGGTGACATTCAACATAACAGTGAGAATGAAACAGGTACAAGTGACATTCAACATAACAGTGAGAATGAAACAGGTACAAGTGACATTCAACATAACAGTGAGAATGAAACAGGTACATGTGACATTCAACATAACAATAAGAATGAAACAGGTACAGGTGACATTTAACATAACAATGAGAATGAAACAGGTACAAGTGACATTCAACATAACAGTGAGAATGAAACAGGTACAAGTGACATTCAACATAACAATGAGAATGAAACAGGTACAAGTGACATTCAACATAACAATTAGAATGAAACAAGTACAAGTGACATTCAACATAACAATGATAATGGAACAGGTACAAGTGACATTCAACATAACAATAAGAATGAAACAGGTACAGGTGACATTCAACATAACAGTGAGAATGAAACAGGTACAGGTGACATTCAACATAACAATGATAATGGAACAGGTACAAGTGACATTCAACATAACAATGATAATGGAACAGGTACAAGTGACATTCAACATAACAGTGAGAATGAAACAGGTACAAGTGACATTCAACATAACAATGATAATGAAACAGGTACAAGTGACATTCAACATAACAATGATAATGGAACAGGTACAAGCGACATTCAACATAACAATGATAATGGAACAGGTACAAGTGACCTCCAACATAACAATAAAAATGGAACAGGTACAAGTGACATTCAACATAACAATGAGAATGGAGCAGGTACAAATGACGTTCAACATAACAATGAGAATGAAACATGTATAAGTGACGTTCAACATAACAATGAGAATGGAACAGGTACAAGTGACGTTCAACATAACAATGAGAATGGAACAGGTACAAGCGACATTCAACATAACAATGAGAATGAAACAGGTACAAGTGACATTCAACATAACAATGAGAATGAAACAGGTACAAGTGACATTCAACATAACAATGAGAATGAAACAGGTACAAGAGACATTCCACATAGCAATGAGAATGAAACAGGTACAAGTACACTTACCTACAGTACACTTACCACTAGTACACTTACCACCAGTACACTTACCTCCAGTACACTTACCACCAGTACACTTACCACAAGTACACTTACCACAAGTACACTTACCTCCAGTACACTTAAACTCAGTACACTTACCCTGTTACACTTACACCCTGTACACCTTCAGTACACTTATACTAACTGCATTTACCTCAAGCACACTTACCTCCAGTACACTAACCTTCAGTACACTTTCCTCCAGTAAACTTACCTTCAGTACACTAACCTTCAGTACACTTACCTCCAGTATATGTACGACATGTACATTTACCTACAGTTAACTTATACTTAGTGAATATACCTCAAGCACACTTACCTCTAATGTACTTACCTCCAGTACTTTTACCCCCAGTGCACTTAACTCCAGTACTCTAACCCTCAATACACTTACCTCCAGTACCGATGCAGGAAATAACGTGTCCATCTAAATTTCCACCCCATCTCGGTGACTTTCTTTAAGTTGAGATAGGACACCAGAAATCCGCTGTAAGAGACACACACATTCAGCATATTACGGGCTTTGGTCGTGTACTACCACTGGTAGTTCCCCGTGTGGATTATGGAGCCCCATTGCAGTGGTGGTGGGTGGGGGAGGGGAATAAAGAATTTTTGACGGAGAGGTGAGGAACCTACATACGACATACAAATAAGCAGGTCTGTAAAACGGATGTGCATGCAAATCACAAGTTCTGCAACTATACTAAAGTCCAGAATTGGACGGTTGGCCAGAAATTTCCACCGGATTTCATAACTGGCGAACGCAAAGAAGAAGACGAAGAAGACCACTAATAGTTCCATGGAAATCTAGACGGTTTGGTTAAAGCCAGTGTTCTTCAGCTAGTGAGCCACGGTACAGTGCTGGGCCACAGAAAATGTGAGGTTGGGTCGCCAGAATTTATTTATAATCATATAACGGGGTCGGAAGAAGACTAGTGTTTCTCTTTCAGGGCTCAAGAGGATTAACACTTCAAGGACAAGAATCAAAAGAAGTAGCACCAGATGAAACTTGTAATAATAAAACATGGGATGTCACACAAAAACTGCTGTCTACCTTTGTTTTTGTTTCTGTGTCTGGTCAGCTGTTAGGTGAGCCGCGGAATAATTTTCACTGTTTTCGTGGGCCGTGGGTCTAAAAAGGTTGAGGAACCTTGGTTTAAACAACATGGTGTGGGAATCACAAGACATGGGGTTAACGGGTGCAAGCCAAATCAAGCTGTGAGCGAGGTTTGAAGTTTAACGTTTGAACAACAGATCAACATCATGGCACACGCGTAGTAACCCATCAGTGTTCCGTTATTCTTCTAACGCAAGTCTGAGTCCGAAAAAGCTCAGCACAGTGCACTGGCTCTGTAGCACCAGCGACGATCCTGAAATAATTAGGGTAGATTTTCAACTCCCAATTTTGTCCTGGCAGCGCCTTTAGACTACTCTTTTTGATTTCCAACTGCCAAGGCATTTTTTACGGGCACAACAATACACACCGGCGTTCGATTTCACTACCCAGAGATCAGGGGAAATTACCAGAAGTCCAAGTCCACGTGAAAAAAATCCTAGCCATTAACGGGGATTGAACCAGGAACCTCTCGCAATCGATGCGGACACCATGCCTCGAGACCATGCAGCCACTGGTGGATGCGACAGACTCTAGAGTCTGCCATATAAATCTCCTCATGTTATAATAATGAGCGACAAACTTGACATTATAAAAAATAATAATAACTCAAACTCTCTCTCTCTCTCTCTCTCTTTCTCTTTCTCTCACTCACACACACACACACACACACACACACACACACACATGCTGTGTGGCGTTGGTTATGACGTCTGTCCACAACCGCTTGCCTCCTGCACTGTCTAACAGTTCTGACACAGATGATCGTCCATGTCATAATGTCAAACAGTTCTGACACAGATGATCGTCCATGCCATAATGTCAAACAGTTCTGACACAAATGATTGTCCATGTCATAATGTCAAAGAGTTCTGACAAAGATGATTATGCGTGTCATAATGTCCAACCGTCCTGCATCTGTTTTCTCGGTCTCCATCTTTCCCATCAGTCTCCCATTCAACCCTGCTACCGTCACGATGTACTTCAGTCTTATCTTTTATCCTTCTCATCACATGACCAAAGAATGTAGATTGTCTCCTTCTAATGAGTGCAATCAGCTCTCTTCGTGAGTCAGTTTCTTTCCAGACGTCTTCATTGCTCTTTTATCTGTGCATGGTATTTTCCATTTTCATCTACAAAACCTTATCTTCGCAGCCTCCACATAATGTTTTACTAATCGCCCAACTGCTCATGATTCACTTCCGTATATCAGGATAGGATTGATATAGCTCTTGGCAATTCACGTCTCGACTGACAAAGATAGATTGCAGAGAATCGAAAGGTTTACCTTAAGATATGGAGTCAGGTGATGGAAATACTTTTCTTCTTCTTTATCGCATTCAACGCATGTAATCTGGCAGAAAGTTCTGGTTGTTCGTTCACTTCTGGACTTTGGTATTGTTCCATAACCTTAGTGTTGCTTTCACATACGTTTTATATATCTGGCTTATTGGTTATGCAGACTATTGGTTCCTGGTCTATCAGGCAGATGCACTCCCACTTCGGAGAAAACCTCTAATTATTAGAATAAACGTACAGCATGCTTGTTGAAGAGGCAGGGGGTCTATCCCCAACACCCCCTCCCCCCCCCCCCCCCCCCCACACACTTGCCTAACTGGGTTCTAGTATCTACACATGAAGAAACTATTTTTCATTCACAAAATCTTATCCCAGGATGCTCCAGAATGCCCACTGTTGAAATATAATGGAAGACATAGCGAACGTCTAAACACGCTGAGCATCATCCTCCACAGATTTCGGTCCCCTGCCCTCTGGATCACTTCCACCCATGATATCCCTCTGTTCCACCGTCGCAACCCATCATCTCTCCGTCTGCCTCTTCCTCTTCTACCGTTGATCTTTCCGGTTTTTACAACATTCTCAAAAACCTCCACCCCCTCCTAATCCCCTCCTTATCACATGACGAAAGAGCAGGGCTTGTCTTGTTCTTATAGCTGTACATATTGATCTGCTTTCATCAGCTTCCTTCAAGTAATCCTCGTTAGTTACTCTGGCAGTCCAGGGGATTTTGAACATTCGTCTGAAAAACCACATTTCCGTCCCCTCAAAGTTCTTTCCAATTTGTGCATTCGCATTCCATTATTCACTGCCATACAGTGATACAGGTACTAAATAACATTTAAGTACTCTCTTTCGGTCATCCAAAGAGAGGGTTTTGTTGCACAAGATGTTTTTCATCCTGTTGAAATACAGCCTTAGCTTGGACTATTCTGCTCTTAATTTCTGACCCACATCTTTAATCTGATGTTTTGATTGTACCGATGTATTTGCATTTATCGACTTGGATCAACTGTTTACAATCTGTTCTAATATGACACTGTGGTGGTGGTATTCGTTTCTTTCATATAACTAATATCTCCCGTCTTCTTTATATTCAAGGACAGACCCTTGTTTGCACTCTCCCTCATTACAATATCCAATAATTGTTTTAGATAATCTGCTTGTTCAGTTATCAGTACTCTGTTATCTGTATGTTGTTTATATTACAACCTCCCACTCTAATTCTTTGTGTATCTTCGAACTCACTCAGTATCATCTAGTTATAGGGAGAGAAAAGGTCAGATGATAAAACTCATCACTGTCTTACCTACTCCCTGTTTGATCTGTTCATATGTACCCCTTCTATTTCCCATTTTATTAGCTGTTATTTGCTTATAATAAATATTCCCTAATTATTCTGAGATTTTTCCCATCAGTGGTAACACGTGTCAACATTTTGACAAGTTCCTTTGAGTGTTTCACGTTATCAAGTTTTTTATTGTCGGTTACATCATTGTTGTATCACTTATTTCCCACGCTCGGTTTGTAACAAAGCTGTTGTGGCGGTTTCTAATGGGAGCAGTTAATGTCCTTGAGCTATAACTTTAATCTTCTCAACGCCTTTATTGTTGACGTCTTTAAATAAAAGCGATCTGCGTCAACAATTGTATCACTCTTAATTTCAATAACACTCCCCTCCCCCCCCCCCTCCCCGCCCCGTGTGGGTTCCGGGTCCCCATTGTGGGAAAAACAAGAATGGACCCACTGCTTCCCCACAAGTATGTCGTAAGAGTCGACTTGGGTATTTTCATTTGAAGTCGGTGTGCATCTGCCTGAGAGGCAAGGAACCAGCAGTCTGCATTCAAGTGAATCAGATCTGTAAAACTGATGAACGTGCAATACTCAGGTTCTGGAGCAGGACTGCAGCTCACAAGTGGACGAACAACCAGAACTTTCCGCCAGAGTGTACAGCTGATGAACGCGAAGAGGAAGAAGAAGAAGAAGAACACTCCCAGTCGCTTGTTTTAAATGTTCAACACAATGCCACCAAAATTTAAAATATTGTTGAAACGCACCAAAATATCGACAGGGTATTAAATATTACTGGGCAAAAAATCAGATAGTTCAAAATCTGGATGAAAGTACCGACTTTGGCAACCGTGCTACATAGTTTGTCAGCCCCAAAATTCGTGTTCCCATTCTTCCGTGGACTCTATGTCTCTCACTGTAAGGACTTCCCCAGATCTGTCAACCAGTCAGACCCCCTCATGTTATACCTATTTATAGCATCACTGCACACAGAAACCCAGAAAACAGAAATACCTGATCACAAAAAATGTATCCACGCCCAACGGCATGTTGGTGATGGCATCAAACATCCTGTATCGCAGAAGTGACACCTTTCCCTCCTCTATGTTACCTGGTATCAGATAGGGAACGACTGATCTTGCAGTATTCAGTGGGGAGAACAAGTACAGGACATTTTGTTGACGCCTTCGCGCATTCTGGACATATACCACTTGATCTTGTTTTATAGACCAATCAGCACTCGGTGTGTGATGTGGTCAACGTTACGGCCACCTTTAGCTAACATTAAATTCTTTTTAAAACTCAGAAAAAAGCGCCATTGAAACAGTTGAAATGATGCAAAAAGTTTATGGGTATAATTGTCTATCTCGTGCACAAATTTTCAGGTGGTATTCATGATTCAAAAATGGTGTGGAAATAATTACTAATGCACCTAGTCCTAGACGCCAAATTTCTGTTCGTAATGATAAAATCATTGCAAAAGTCAGAGAACGGATATAGGAAGATTATTGTTTTACTGTGAGGATGATGGCAGGTAAACCTCATTGAGAGACCATTCATAACATTTTACTGCTCATTTTTAGCACACACGCAAAAAAAAAAAAAAAAAGAGCTGCTTGCCGGTTTGTACCATGGGCTGTCCTGGGAAAGTAAAGACAGCCGGCGTAATGCTGACCACATTACCCACAGAGTGCTGATGGTCTGTAAAAATATGGGACGCTCTGCCCATTTGCCCGATGCGCCGAAAGGCGTGAAAAGGGATCTTTACTTACTTTACTTACGTTGTCTGATGACCAAAAACATCAGAGGGTTGAGTACCCAAGAGACATCCTCAAAACAAGAATGTGTGGCCCCCAAACAAGTGTGTCTTCTCAGCCTTCCATCATGTTCCCCAGATTTGTCCCCCCTTTGATTTTTTTTTTTTTTTTTTCCTAAAATTAAAGTTACGATTGAAAGGACGCTTCTTTAACGATATTGATGATATCCAAAGGGCTGTAACATTGACTTTATGGCCATAACAACAGAAAAATTACAGAGGTCGTTCCAATACTTGTTAGATCGTGCCATTTGCTGTATCAATGCACAAGGGTATTACTTTGAATAAAATACAGGTAAAATTTTCAACTGTTGATTATTTTGATTTTTATGGAATTGGTCTCATTACTTAATTGTCGGACCTTGTATATTTATATTCACATTTATGCCATTGTTGCAGTTTAACGTTCTCAAGGAATACCGTCCTTTTTAGGAAGAAATTTTTCGTTATTTGAAACCCCACCCTGGCTCTTGCCAGGGGCCGCAATATAGCCAGGCCATAAATAGGGCCTAATGGCTGAACGCGGTTTCTGGGACCTCTCCACGGTGATCCTCATCCACATAGTGGCACATTGTGTCATCGGGTGTTTGTCGCTTGTGTTATGTCCTAGTGGGGTGGAAAGTCAGTCAGTCAGTCGACTAAACGGTGACGATGTCTACTGGGTGGATAGTGATTAGTCGGGTCTATGATCGCAGCACTCCGGGCTCATCGAGTGTGCTCCGATCTCCTTCTCCGTAGCTCCACAAGGGTAATACCACTGGTCACGCCCGATCTGTGTTGATTAAACATACATCTTGTGTCCTTGGTAATAAGTTTATTTCTGACTGCCTATGGCTACTTTTCCAGTCATACTGAGTCAAGATCACATACGACTTTACTGTATTCGTCGCTATCTCACGTTCCACGAAGGACTGGCACCTTCTATGCCGTCATAACAAAATGTGGTAAAATACAGAGGGTAGCGACAGCTTTTATGTCTAGGTGAGGCCTGGCTAGTTAGCGTAGTTGGTTAAAGCTGACTTCGCGGCGACCGGGCTACGAAGACCTTGTGGTCCGGGTTCACGCCCGGGGTAAAGCGGAAAAGCTACATTTCTCCCAGATTTACGGTATCTATCATGGAATCAAGGCCAAAGGTTTGCGATATCCATAGTACCGAGTCAAAGGATTACCTCATGGTTTCTGGATACTTAAAAAAAAAAGTCTAGGTAAGCGAAACAGGATGCGGGGTGTGTGTTTTTTTCCCATGGCAGATTTATTTAAATTTTATCCATGTGTCTATTTCCAAGATAAGCTACTAGCCCCGCCAAGCAGAAAATGATGATTTTTTATTTTTTTTTTTTTAAAGAAATATACAGCATGATAATGTTAATGAGGAACTTACTTGCACGACCGAGAATTGCCAGAAAATATACGTGGCCAATGATAATCCATGCCATGGTCAGAAATCGCATGCCATGAATGACGGTGATTGAGCCCGGAGCCTGTGACGTGGACAAGAGACGTTTTCCGGTTGTGTAGGCGGAGAATGAGAGCAGAACATTCACCAACATTTCTGTAGGACAGACAGTAGTACATATGATGTCTTATGGTCGCTTCCACAAGTCGTGGAGCAACGTGGATGAACTATATGCGAATATGGCCATTCATGACTCCTTTGCACAGAAATACACAAAGCCTAGAAAGATCCAGAGCTGTAGATGTCTGAGCTCTCGTGCAGTGGAGCACACCAGCTGTTCTCCATTGACAGCTTGGTCTTACCCTATGAGTACGTACCTATAGGGTGAATAGGGCACACTTGGGTCGTAAGTCCCTTGATCAAGAAAACCCTTGTACAATCAAGACCGTTGTGCGTGATGGAATAAGTACGAAACAACCCGGGTCTAGAGGAGACAAACTCATTTTTTTTTAAACTAAGCTTACGGTTGACCTACGTGCTTATTAGCTGAATGGCTGTGGGTGTTACAGTCGTACACTGGAACGTCTGGTTAGCGGGCAGGGTGGCACTAGCCGTAAGGACTCCTTCGGGACAACCCCTGTCTCTTCCCTAACAAGCAGGCAATACTAGACTGACTGTTTACTTCCTGCGATGAAATATTTTCTATGAATTTAGTACCTAATGATTTTGTACCTAATAATGAAAAAGACTCAACGCCGTTACAAGAGAGTGCATGGTCTGTGCTTGATACCATCTTCCGGTGGCAAGAGATATCATCATCTTTGATATCATCATGTTGCAGGAATGAAACACAGGTAGATATGAGTGTCCTGGATACATAAGTTATTTCAATCCTACGGGGCAGAGAAGATATGGGCAATGTTTGCTGGCGAAGCATGTTGTTCTTGACCTGGTTCAGTGGAATCATAGTACACTAGAGGTTCATGGTATACAGATAAATCATGGGGGAAAAGGGGGGGGGGGGCCTGAAATTTAGTAAATGTTTATGCTGCTATGGACATTCGTGTCGCAAATGAACACTTGGACTGACTCAGAGAGTTAGAAGAAATCCATAGTAATTGGCTTCTCATTTGTAGAGATTTCAGTGCGCTTAACACAGTATGGGACAATACTGGGGAAAATAGACAATAACATGTTTTAGCAGAGACTATGATAGATGTAGACGTAGTCTGTATAAACGACGGTAGGCCAACTAGAAGGACTACGAGACCTGGGGATGCAGACACTGCACCAGGAAAGGAGATAGGAACAGGGTGTAAGTGACACCTTGGTAGGAAAGTCCATGGGCGGAAGAGCTGGCGAGAGTCCGAATTTCTAGCACGTAGACTGAGATGACAGCGACGTTCTGCAAAAGACCTGCTACGTGATGCTATCAAAACTAGTGTACTTAAACATAACAACTGAATCAAATGTATTTAGATAACCACGTACACATTTGACAGTTCCAGTCGAGCACTATACATTGTTAGTATAATTTGCATCGACGTGTGGTAGATTTTCAAAGAATGGTGCAAATCTTTGAAATGCGACCCCATAAACGTCTAAACTGTATTTTGATTTCGCTGCTTATTCCACCCCCTTTTAAAATGTCGCCCTCCTACGGTGCCACCTGATCCAACTGCCTTTCTGTACCATAGCACGGCAGGGTAATGAATTGTTTTTATACTCAAAATTAATAGTTAAAAACAAATTCGCAATTTGTTAGCACAGCATTGCATTGTCATCCATAACTCGCGTGCGTGTGTTTGCACACTTTGAGCTAGATAGCTTATAAAGAAATAGTGTAACGATGGATCTACAATTCTGACCAGCTACAAGACAGACAAAAGCCACCGAAAAGAAAGCTTATAAGATAGTGTTCACAGAACAAAGACTGCATGAACCACAAGGTTTTCAGTGTATGGATATTAAAATGTCCTCACCGGAACAGGGCTACAGGTCATAGTGGGCTGGCGTGGCTGTTAAAGGTGTCCCAGTTATTACTTTTTTTTAGGAGTTGAACGGGCTACAGTGATCTTCCCTACTGGTCTGCCATCCAGGTTGTGTGTATGTATGTGTGTGTCTTTTTTTTTTTTTTTTTTTTTTTTTTTTTTTGTTTAATCTCAGCGTGGTAAAACATCATGTAACAGCCTGGAGTGAACAAATCTATTGACAGATGTGTAGCTGCAAATATACATCTAGCAGTATATAGTGACACTGAGACGGGTAGACAGATGGGCAGGCAGACAGACGGGCAGGCAGACATATGGACAGGTAGACAGACATATGGACAGGTAGACAGACAGACGGGCAGGTAGACAGACAGAGAGGCAGGTAGACAGACCGGAGGGCAGGTAGACAGACAGACGGGCAGGTAGACAGACATATGGACAGGTAGACAGACAGACGGGCAGGTAGACAGACAGGCAGGTAGACAGACAGATGGGCAGGTAGACAGACAGACGGGCAGGTAGACAGACGGACGGGCAGGTAGACAGACATATGGACAGGTAAACAGACAGACGGGCTGGTAGACAGACAGACGGGCAGGTAGACAGACATATGGACAGGTAGACAGACAGATAAGCAGGTAGACAGACAGACGGGCAGGTAGACAGACAGATGGGCAGGCAGGCAGACAGACGTGCAGGCAGACATACAGATGGGCAGGTAGACAGACAGACGGGCAGGTAGACAGACGGGCTGGTAGACAGACAGACGGGCAGGTAGACAGACAGATGGGCAGGTAGACAGACAGACGGGCAGGTAGACAGACAGATGGGCAGGCAGGCAGACAGACGGGCAGGCAGACAGATGGACAGGTAGACAGACATATGGACAGGTAGACAGACAGATGGGCAGGTAGACAGACAGACGGGCAGGTAGACAGACAGATGGGCAGGCAGGCAGACAGACGGGCAGGCAAACAGACAGATGGGCAGGTAGACAGACAGATTGGCAGGCAGACAGACAGACGGACAGGCAGACAGACAGATGGGCAGGCAGGCAGACAGACGGGCCGGTAGACAGACAGATGAGCAGGTAGACAGACAGAATAGAATTATTATTATTATTATTATTTTTATTATTATTATTATTTGCGTTTACCGGCTGTAATGTCCGGCGGAATGTCTTGGTTGGTCGTCCACGTCTGAACTTTAGTCTGTTCCCAGAACAACAGTATTTGCGTTCTCATCCGTTCTATAGATGAGGTTTATGTGTATGCAGACTGTGGTTCCATCCCTCTCAGACAGATGTATGCAGACTGTGGTTCCATCCCTCTCAGACAGATGTATGCAGACTGTGGCTCCATCCCTCTCAGACAGATGTATGCAGACTGTGGTTCCATCCCTCTCAGACAGATGTATGCAGACTGTGGTTCCATCCCTCTCAGACAGATGTATGCAGACTGTGGTTCCATCCCTCTCAGACAGATGTATGCAGACTGTGGTTCCATCCCTCTCAGACAGATGTATGCAGACTGTGGTTCCATCCCTCTCAGACAGATGCACATCTCTAATTAGGCGACTTTTCATCATCAGTCCGTAACACTAAGTGTCGTGATGTCCCCAGTTTCTGTTTCACTGATCAGCTTTCTCCACCTTTGGCGGTCAGTTGCGATGGACGTCATGGCCTGAGGCCTGTCCAGTCAGTCAGGTTCTGTAACCAGGTCATTTGTAGTCTGCCTCTTCTCCTCCTCCCCTCTACTGAGCCCTGCTGTCTTGTTTTTGAGAGGCCATTAGATCTCATCACAGTCAGCTCCAGATTTACGTATCTAATGTCCATACCATTGCATTTTTTGGCCTTTCCACTATAGTTAAAAGAGATTCATAGTTGCTAATGTGCTGTTTAATTTTATGGCGAACCTCTTCGTTTGAAATGTGGTCTCTGTATGATATGCCTTGAATTTTTATGAAATATCGCATTTCTCATACTTATATATTTTTTTTTTAAATTCAGCTGTTAAGGTATACGTTTCACAGTCATTTGTAAATGGACCAATACGAAACGCTCTGAGCAGGGGACTCTTACGACATGCTTATGGGGTGGGGTGGGGGGCACGACGTCTAATCCGTTGTTTTCTCCTGTGCCCCAGCACCCACACGGGGAATAGAAATACCCTGTATCAAGATTTGTTTTATACAACGATCTATTGTGATCTTGCCTGTGGTTTCTGTGTTGTCTTCTTGTTGCCGTTCTTTGGTTTGACTGTCGGGAGCCAGGACTGGTGCCGTGGGCTTGCGAAACTCTTCTGTCAAATCAATGTGTCGATAAAACTGCATTTATAATGAGTTTAAACAGACAGATTAGCGGGCTGGTTGACAGTTGGATAGATTAGCTTAGATTAGATTATACAGACAGACATATCGACCTACAGACAGACAGTTAAACAGATTTGATTAAATTATATTATATTATATTAGATTAGATTAGATTAGATTAGATTAGGTTAGATTAGATTAGATTAGATTAGATTAGATTAGATTAGATTAGATTAGATTAGATTACATTAGACAGACAGATTAGACAGACAGACAGACCCGCCGACCGGCCAAACCATCCACCGACCGACCGACCGACCGACCGACCGACCGACCGACCGACCGACAGACAGACAGACAGACCGACCGACCGACAGACACACAGACAGACAGACAGACAGACAGACAGACAGACAGACAGACAGACAGACAGACAGACAGACAGACAGACAGACAGACAGATACAGACAGACCGATAGACCGACCGACCGACCGACCGACCGACCGACCGACCGACCGACCGACCGACCGACCGACGACCGACCGACCGACCGACCGACCCGACCGACCGACCGACCGACCGATAAGACCGACCGACCGACCGAACCGACCGACCGACCGATAGACCCGACGACCGACCGACCGACCGATAGACCGACCGACCCGACCGACCGACCGACCGACCGACCGACCGACCGACCGACCGACCGACCGACCGACCGACCGACCGACCGACCGACCGACAGACCGACAGACCGACAGACAGACAGACAGACAGACAGACAGACAGACAGACAGACAGACAGATAGACAGATAGACAGATAGATAGATAGATAGATAGATAGATAGATAGA